AGTTTTGATAGTGAATAGTTTGATAATGATTGTGTAAAAATAAATATAAACGTGCTAAATTAATAGCAACTTTGCCTTGGTTTGCAGTAATGTAATGTTGGATTGAATAGTGTGAGTAGAGAATATGTGCATAATTAAGTTTAGTAAAAAATACTTGTAAAAATTTGGAAATAAGATTTTTGAGGGTACTTTGGATTGCAGTGAAGGGAAAGTTAAAAGATGGGTCAACTTCAGGATTTGAATCTTTAAGGAATTTAATAAGAAACTTGGGGCATTTTTCTGGCATTATTTTTAATAGATAAGTAAAACTTTACTTTGAGGGCTTGTAGTTTGGGTTGTCAGTATTGGCTTTCCTTTTCATAGAAGGGATAGGTTGGCCAGGAGTAAATTCTCAGAGGAAGTGTTTGATAAAGTTAAATAAGTCTTGTGCAAGTTGTGTATTTAGTTTTGTATTTGGTTTCATATTCTCTGTAATTGGATATTGTTTAAACCAGTTTAAGTCTTTAGAAGTATCTCGGAGAGGGTATTTTTTATCTGTTTGATTGGATTGTTGGTCTGTATTAATATTTTCTTGAGAAGAGAAAGATTCTTGTTGAGATTGTTGTTGTTGTTGTTGTTGCTATTGCTGTTGTTGTTGGTTTGTATTAATTATTGTTTGAGATAATAAGGATTTTTGTTGTTGCTGTTTTTGTTTAGGAAGCAGGAGTTTAAGGGCACTTTTGAGAAAGGTTTTTTTAAGTTTTTTTGAGGAGTATTTAAACATATAAACGAGGAGTACTGCTTGTTGCTCAGGAGTCATAGGTTTTGTTTTTGGAAGGGGTTTACATTTGATATAAATAATATGAGGTTTGCAATCATTGTAGATAAGCCTTCCTCTAAAAATAGAGCTATTTTCAGTATTTGGATTATGCTGTTCATTCTTGGATATAACACAAGGTATATTGTTAACTTTACAGATCGTGCAGTAGTGTGTATGTTGAGAATGTGGAATAATTTCGAGATTTGGGTTTGATTGCAGAGAGAAATTGGGAAAAAGAATTTTAGAAGTGATTTGAGGAGCAGGTGATTCAGGAAGTTTTTTAGAAATTCTATTGAATCTGTTTTTTGAAATGGTTGAAGAGATTTCTATAGCTAGAGCAGGTTGTTGTTGAGGTGGAGGAGTAATTTTAAAAAATTTCGAATTGAAGTTTGCATAATATTTTCCACAGATACAGGTTTTAAGTGCAGGTTGTATAGGTAAAAGAAAGAAGTGATAATTCTTGTTATTTTTAACTTTACAGTTTTTGGGATTGACATTAGCAGGAAGGATGCGGAGAGATTGTGGTTTGTCTTCTGTCATTCCAAAACCAAAACGACCTTGGTATTTAAAATACCAGTAGTCGAGATCAAAGGAGTCAGGTTGAGTATCAATAAGGGTAGACATAATATAATATATCTGTATTATATATTAGAAAGAAAAAATTTATTTTAAATTTAGCAAGTTATTGAAAAAATTTATTTAAAAAAGAGGTTTTGTAATAATAGATCGTGTCTGTTAATTAGAAAATTATGATTCGGCTTATGAAGGGCTTTTGGTAGAATAAATTTTTTTCATGTAACGTTGAGCAAAAAAGTCAAATTTGGGTAGTACAAAGTCACGTGTTACACAGGTCACGTGTCAAGTCACGTGTCAGGCCATGTATTGTGTTACACAAATTAGGCAAATTTGTGAGACAAAGGTACTGTAGTTTGTGTAAATTAATAAATTACAAAAAGAGTAAGTATTT